CAACCACTCTTTCAAGCTAATATAATTGGTTGCAAGGCAGTAGCGACGCCTTTACCAAGTAAGCGCAAAAGTGGCTATCCACCTCCCCTTTGATGGTCAATTCCACCGAGACACTGGAGCCCTCCAATACCTTACTATTATGCGTCCGTACATCTCCTTCGCGGTCAACTTTTTATGCCAACACATGCATTCTCCCATGCGTACCACTATCAACTTCTTAAGCGAATACTTCGCTATCTTCATGCCATCTTGGATTATGGACTTCTCATCAACCTGTGCGATCTCACACTCCACAGATACTGGGACGCCGATTGGGCCTTTGATTCATAAATTTGATGCTCAACTATTGGATATTTTACTTTTCTCGGTATCTCTCCTATTTCATGTGCAGTCAAGAAGAAACACATTGTGACTTGTTCCTCCACCGAGTCTAAGTTTTGTGCCTTGGCGACAACGGCGTCCAACACTTGCTACGACATCTCCTTGCTGATTTCGGTTCTCCACAACCGCATCCCGCCAATCTCTCATGTGATAATCTCTCCGCGATGGCGATTGCTATGAATCAGTTATTTCATGCTCACACCAAGCATATCGAGATATACTATCACTTCATCCGGGACCAAATTCAATTCAGTTTCCTCTAAATCCACTACATCAACACCCAAGATCAACTAGTGCATATATTCACTTGAGCTTTGCCGAAAAAGAGGTTCAAATCTTTGCAGTCAAAGCTTCAAGTTTGCTCCAAACTTTATCAGCTTGAGGGAGGGTAATAAAGCAAAGTAATAGATTAACATATGCTAGGCATGAGGCACACCTTAAGGGTAGCTAAGGTAATTTGTCTCCTCTAAAAGCTTCACTACTGGGTGTATGTGGGACGGTAAGGTACCGAGAGCTATAATGGAGTAATGTGATTTTCTTTTCAGGATTTCTTCTTCTTTACTTTTGCAGACTCTCTCAAGCTTCCTCTTCTTCTTCTCAAGTTTTTCATATGCCACCCTTCCTATGCGTAAAATGGTGTATTTTGCTTTTTAAAAGTTAAAACTATTGGTATTTTTTGATGTGATATGAAAAATTTGGCGGTATTAATGTAGAAAATAAAGCTCATAGGTGGCAGATTTGTACATACGTGGGAATTGGATGGCATTTATGTAAATGCCCCGCACAAAAGAATAAAAAACACGTTCTAAACTTTTTAATACCTAAAGGGTTTAAATTATGCTTCACGCCTCATCAACTTGGCTTTAGTTTAGCAGAAATTAGTGTTATCAATATGTTGAAATCGCAAAAATCTGTTCTTTAATTGCTGATGCATGTGCTTGCTTGTGCCATTTTCTTACAGGCAGATAAGCTTCTTTCTCCAGAATTCCAGCCCTCAATTGAACAGCTAATGCGTTTTCTTCCTGAAAATAGACAAATATTACTTTTTTCAGCAACATTTCCTTTATCAGTCAAGGATTTCAAAGACAGATTTTTGCGAAAACCTTACATAATTAATCTTATGGATGAGCTCACTCTCAAGGGAATAACACAGTATTATGCTTTTGTAGAAGAAAGGCAGAAAGTCCACTGCTTGAATACTCTTTTCTCAAAGGTTTGATTATATTCATTAACTTTTTGCTCTTTATGAATGACTATTTGCGAAATTGATGAATGGATTGTTTTTTACAGCTCCAAATCAACCAGTCTATTATATTTTGTAACTCTGTTAACCGTGTAGAATTATTGGCTAAGAAAATTACTGAGCTTGGTTATTCGTGTTTCTACATCCATGCTAAAATGTTGCAAGACCATCGGAACCGAGTTTTCCATGACTTCCGCAACGGTGCATGCAGAAATCTTGTTTGTACAGGTATAAATTCATAATCTTTTAAGTTTCAACTGTATTTGATAATTGCACTTTTCACTTAACAATTTTCTGTACTGGAAACTGATTTACTGACAAGTACTTGTTGACCACTAAAAAAAATAATAATAATAATTAATAAAATTAAAAAAATATTTAATATTAATAAATGTTAATAATGGTCCCACCCAGGCCTCCATAACTGCTCCCGCACTCCTCTTCGTTTGGTCTCTTATTCAAACCGATTTGTAACTGCTTAGAAAAAATGAAAAGGGCCACGACAGAATTCTGGTAAACAAATCCTCCGTTCTGGATCACATGAAGAATCGCTTGCGTTCTCCCAATGTTAAAAGATAGGGCTAGCAGTAAAGGCAAGGATGAGATTGCTGTGCGCAAAGCCCTTTTAGCCTCTTCCGGTATACGTGATGCCAGCTCTCCTTCCTCTAAAGCAAATAGACTTCTCCCCATTCACTTTCTCGGTTGTAACAAATCGCACAGGAGGAAACCACGCTCGACGCTCGTCATCCGTGCAGTAATCCAGATTCAAACTCCTTGGCCTTGCACCATACCTGTTTGTCTTTGTCCAGCCTGTCTTTGTCTTTGTCTTTGTCTTTGTCCAGCGTCCGGTAAAAGCAACAAGGGGAGTGCAGCATACAAAGACCTATGAAATTCCTGTCCCTCTCTTCCTGCGCTCGGAAAAAGCAAGGGCAGGATAACAGCGAATAAAGACCACCAATACTTTTCTGTTTGAAGCCGAAAACCCTGATCTCCAATCCTGCACATTATTACCGTGATAATCCTTTCTTCCGCCTCCGATCTTCTTGCCGTCTCTCATCAAACCCTTTCCCTCACCCAATCAATATCTCCAACCTGATACTCGCCTCAGAATCCCCTTTCTTAGACGGATTGCCAGTGGCTTAGGAAGCGGCGAAGAGCTAGCATACTGGATAGTTATATAGTATTTTTGTTTTGTGGGAGGCCCTGGGGTTGGCCGGTGATAGTTATAGACGTCGGAGGTGTGGAGATGTGGTGATGTCTAAAGCAGAAGTGATGATTGAGCCATGGTTAGAGTGAAAATGGGGCTATTATCAGCGTGCGTGATGTGGCCCCTGTGCCACAAGCTTCCTAGGGATGCCACCGCCATCTCAGCATGCCTGCATACATTTTGCAGAAATGCATTGTAGATCACTTCTTCGATGAACGTACTGATTGCTGTCCGATATGTAACATTGATTCGGGCCGCATTCCAGTGGAGAAGCTAAAGCCTGATCATAACTTAGAAGTTGTCAGAACAAAGATTTTTCCCTATAAAAGAAGAAAGATTAATGCTACAAAATTCTTACCTTTGATGACATTGCCTATCAGAATAAAGGAAGGAGCACCATCTTTATTAGTGGTTGATAATCCTGAAATAGGAACTCAAACAGGATTTTCGGGATGAACAAAAGCAGCTGCGAAAAGGGCTTCTACATTACATGGATTAAGCTCTTTAAATGATGAATATGCCAAGAAAGATAGTGATAACAGTAAGCATATTAAAGAGAACTCTAGTGGGACTTTAATATGCTACCTTAAAAGGCAGAATTCTTCAAATGGGGAGAGATCCAACCATACTAGTAATTAGAGGCAGAATAGTAAGGAAATTTTTGTTGATGAATCCAGTCTGCCAAGTCCTGCTATCAAGGTTGAGGAAGCGGTTAGCTTTGCTAGTGATGTATTTTTTACTACATAAAGCGAAGGTTTGGGAAAATTCATGCAAATTGAAATTTCAAGATGTATTTTTTTTAAATGTTTCTACATCTCCTGAGGTGGCCAATGCTAGAAGAGTGCATGGTGTTGGTAGGAAAAGAAAAGTGCTTAGGCCTTCAGCTCAATCTATGCTTGATGCTGCTGATGCTGGATCTGAAAGGAGGATCATTTCAATTTGGCTTTCTTTAGTCCTTGCCTGAAAGAGAGGGAGATACAAAGTTGCCTCAAATTTACCCGTTACTTTTATCCAAAAGTACCTTGTAAAGATGCTTAATCTTGCATGAGGCTAAGATCGCCGTTGTCAATATCATCTCTTCGCTCGAAAATGTATAAAAATTGGGCAATAGGGCAATTTTTAAAAATGTACGTTTGAGTAACAATTACACATCCTTAGGAGTTAAATACCGTTCAGGAAACTATGGACTCGTTTGGAAAATTTTATAAAAATCAGGGGAGTTATATACTCATCCTAAGAAACACGCGCACCAGTCCTTGGAAATTAAGTACTTTCAGGGAAAGTAAAGTACTGCTTGGAAAATGTTTGTTTGCGATTTGACATTTTTTGTTGGTACATTGAAGACTCGTTGCATCTTTTAAGGTCGTATGTGATGCGGGGCTTAGGAGGGCTGAACTGGCGGGTTCAGCTGAACCTGCTCAATCCACTATGGATTGGATCGGTCAGTTCAGGGGGCTGGTTTTACCGCCCAAAGAAAGGGGCCTCCCCGTCCTTTGTGTTGTTTAGGGTTGGTCATGTTGTATTTTCTGATTATCAGTTTGTGAGGACAGCCGTCGACGTCCTGTTTTTCCCTTCAAGGGTTGTATTCAACGGAAAGGCTTGTGCTTCGATTGTCCCCAGCCCCCAGTGGTGATTATCTTCTCCAACTTCTACTTGCACCCTGCTCACCTACATCCGTTCACCCTCCTTTGTTTGCCCAACCGCTGTTGCCTTTACCCAACAAATCTAGCTGCCTATTCCTCTGTCATCCACTTGGGAGGAGATACAGATAGAGATTTGCCAACTTAAGCGAAGGCTTGCAGATATTGAGGATGAAATCCAATGGAAGATTACCCTAAAACGGGATTGGGTGTGTTGAAGGGGAGAACAAGAGAATTTGATAATGAAGCAGGAGACACAAAGTCAGTTCCTACCATTTTACTACAAACAGAGGGTGTAGACTCCAGCTTCAGAAGGGGAGAGACCACAATACTGAGTGATCCCAAATCCTATCGACACATTTCAACCTCAAGATTTTATTGTTCGAACACACACACGAGCGCACCCAAGACGATATCGTCAGGAGTTGATTTCGAGTGGAGAACAGGTAAAACCAATATGCATCCCTAAATCTGTCATCAACAGGAAATGTTGCAAGTGCCATGAATTTGTCTTGGGTGCGTACCGACATGTTCATTTGAGATCTCCTCCAATAAAGATTCTTTCTTTAATAGGTAGTATTTGTATTGATTCTTCTATGCCATTCCGGAGTTTTTCCTTAAAACATATATTTAAACCTACTTGAGGAGCATAATCATTTATAATATGTCAACAACAATCTTAAGGACAATTATAAAAATAGGACGCAATGGAGAAAAAGGATTCATGTAGCTCCGACCCCACGTAGTGGGATTAAGGCTTTGTTGCTGTTGTTGTACAACATTATCTTTCAAACTCTTATATGTAATTACACCTACACCATTTCTAGTGCGGCTTTTTACATGAATACTAAAGTTTAAAAGAAAGCTAATCTCTTTAGCTTTTTCTCTAACCCATTTAGAATACATAAGATATTTATCTTTCTATGAACTATAATATCAAATAATTTCTTTAATTTGACTGTGAGAGTACCCATTTTCTAAGACCCGATCTTAATATTAGTTTCATGATCTAACTTCTTTTCTTGCATTCACTCGTAATGTGAGAACTCCTGCTATTTGACACTACACCCAAACGTCAGTATAACGGAGCTTGCACACTTTTCAGTTTATTTAGGTCATACAACGTGTTGCTTCTAGGGGATGCCCTAGCATTTACGTAAGGATCAAAATGATTCTTGTCATGATTTTCAGATAAATTTTATGCTGGCTGTCGACTACCTAATGCAACTATTCACCTTTCTAATCTGGGGCTTGAGACTCGACAATGATATTGTTAAACTATTATAATGTACATCTGAGAAGAAAAAAAAATAAAACCGATATATTTTACGGCCTACTTAAATGGGCATATATATTTATTAGAATGTGCAATAGAATAGAATAATTCATAGTGGGTGTGGAATGTGAGGTTAAAATGTAATAAAGGAAGCTATATTTGATTTAATAAGATGTTATCTTGCAATAATGAGCATATATTTTGATAAATGAGAACTCAAAATTAGAGCGAGTAAAGTGAGGATTGGTTCTTTTGCTTAGAAGGCAATTTTTTGTAAAGTTTGAAACTGCTGTTTCTTGGGGAGACTTTAACCATGTAATTTAATTTAGGATATTCGGATTTATACCTTAGGAGTATAAAGAAAAGTGGACAAAAACTAGTTGAAAGTAAAACAATGAAGAAAAACTCTCAAAATTTTTTATTTATGTTTTTCTTACAAGAGGGAATACACAATAGGACTAAATCAAAGAAGGGAGAAAAATATTAAGGGGTAGAAAAACCTATTGGGAAGCACATATTGCAATATGAGAAATATAAATGAATTGATCCGTTGGTAGAACTCCTTGATCAACATGCCTTTAGCTTTGCTATGATTGGGAGTGCAAGAAAGGGGGTGGTACTGTAATGGATGCGGCATTGCAGCCAATCATTGCATTAGCTGTGACACTATAGTAGCCGAATTTCTTAATAAAAATTTTGATTAATAGTTTCACTTAAAGCTGATAGTAGACATCTATCATTCTAAGTTTGTGTACAATTTATTTATTTATTTTTAATTTAGGACTACAAAGTCCTTTGGTGAAAATATTGGCCAATTAGTTTGCTATCAACTTCAACATGTTTGTTATGATCATATTGCACTAGATTATGTGCAATTTTGATGGTTGATATGTTATCATCGCATATAAGTGTTGAATTTTTTTCATTTCTTTATAAAAGTTTTCATGATTTGGGGTCATTTAAGATAATTTTTTTCTCAATCAAGCCATAAGCTGTTTGAAACCCTTGAAGTTTTGCATTGATCTTACTTTCATCATTAATCATGATCAATTGTTTTGAAGGGAAGTAAAAAATTCAGACATAATGAATAGAAGAAAATGTCAAC